AAAAAGGCTGAGTAAGATCGATTCGTTGCGAACGTTGCACGTTCCAGAGTATATCTAACACCCTTTTACTGTTTTTCAGGCAGTTACTGCGTTCATTTATCCTACAGGTTATCTGCTTTGTACTTTCGACAAACATTTCCACAGTATTACCGGCTTGATTGACTTTTCTTTTCGAGGCTTTCGAGAACCANTTTCTGTGTTCTATGCAATGCTATGCAATGCAGTTCATTCCTCTTTTCTATTTCGCAGCCAATCTACTGTAATTCCTTTCCTCCTGGCTCGAAAACCTACCACGATTCAGAATTCGTGTTGCTTTCACTGTATATGTGAATTATGTCATCATGATACTTGTCCAAATGATCATATGCGTGCTAGTTCTACCTCCCGATGTCCTCTCTGCAATTCATTTTCTTCCATTTTTTCTGGAGGCAGACAGGTAGCGATGCAAAGAGCAGATTCTGTCTCGTCGTGCTGTGGGCTTCAGTTGTGGGTCCTACTTGTTTCAGGATCCTTCGGTTTGATGAACCCCTTCCTTTGAGGTCCCCCTCGGTCTATTCGCCCGGGGTTCCGGACGATTTCCTTCGTAACGGACTAAGCTGTCAACAAGCCTAGGTTCTTCTGACTCTTTGCGTTCTGGACCAAGGACCAGGATCTTGCGGGGGGACCTCATCTGCTTGGCAGGGGAAAACAGCCTTATCGTCCTCGCAATGCAATGCCCTAGCTCTTCCCTTTTTTAATGATATCTCGACATGCTAACCTGTCTGCTTCTCTCATTGCTGTCTTATTCTGATCCCTTTATCTTGTTTTTGTTGTTATGTACTTGTCTTTTTCTTTGTTTATAGGCCTGACGAGACCATAGTTCCCAAATTCCTTTTTCTGTGTTCTTAATGGGCACACCCTTGAGGTGTATTTGAATAAATAAATAAATTTATATATTCTTGCGATCCTGCGATACATTTCACTACAGTGCGACCTGGCGATCTTTGCAATCGCTAGTAATTTCAGTGATCTTCAGTTGTTTCGTTGTATTTTATCACATATTAATCTTAGTTATTGTTTCTATGTGTTTCTAGTTATTTTGTTGTACTCCTATCGTTGTCATTGTCATCTTATTCTACTCCTGGTGCTATGAAGAGCTTTTTATGATCTCCTATTGACCACATCTTCTTTGGTGTTAGTTGTTACTTGCCGTTGAAGTTCTTGTTTTCTCATTTTTGTTAATAAAGGTTTAATTAAACAAGTTTGTGGCTTTCAGCAACTCGCCCGCTAGGCAAGACAATCGATTCACGAGGTTCTACCATGGCCAACCTTTTTCTTTCGTGCTAAGCATACTAGTCATCAGTTCAAAAATAAATTGTAAGGAAGAATGTCTCGCAATCACGCGGGACCCTACATAAGGTTGGCCTTCTCGCAGAGACTTCGAGTGAGGAAATAGCTCAGCTGTCACTGATCGGTTGTTACCACCACTTGCTGAATGGTTTCGTAAAATCCATAAAACTATTGTGGATGGCTCTGCTTTTGATCACTTGCGTGCCCTGAGGGTCTTGGACTTAAGTGGGCTAATGGAGACATTTGATCGGATAGTCACAGATCATTACGATCCTTTCAGGCTATGCGAAGGCGATTCCGCCGAAACGTTGGCTTTATAAAGCTTATTTACCAACCTCGTGAAGAATTAAAGAAAACAATAAACTCACAAGGGAAGGATCCCAAGTCGATGTGGCCATTTGAAATGAGACTTATACTGCTAGACGTATTTTTTGATGCTGATTTCAGATCTGCATTCAAAATCTGCCAAACGATTCTCTGAACGAAGTTATGGAGGTGGTCTCC